GGGGGGCGGAGGGGGCAGCAGTTGTTCAATAATCTCTAAGCCTGTTGGGCCTTGGGCCTGTTTGTCTTGATTTTCAAAAAACGAAGATGAAATGGGGTCACGAAAAATGTCTCGAACTTATTAACAATTAAGAAAAATATCCTGCTTTGTGAAATCCTACGTACGGGTCATATTATAACAGAATAAAAAAGCACGACACGAAGTTTTTTGGCCGGTTTTAGAAGGGACATCGATTTAAAATGTTTCAAACCTTGTAAAAAATATAATTTTGGGAAAAAAAAAAGATTAAAACTTTCGATTTAATACTTTTTTATCTACTTAAGTGATTATAGAGATTTATACTCGTTCTTTTTAGGCAGACAAGGAATTTAAATCTGTTGGATAGAGACGAACTAATACTAGCAACGAACTCTCCGGAGGTATGCATATTTTTATTAACATTTATATTTAAATAAATAACAATAAAAAGAATTTTTTTTCGAAGAAATGATGAAGCCTGAACATTTCTCCATGATTTAATTTTTTAAAGAATTTTATGTAGGTAAACTAATACCAGTACTACATCTTACACATCTTTTCGGGTTCTAATCGCATTGGACGTACTCCCGAAAATATTTTTAACAACTCTTTTTGCACGATTGAGATGATAGTTAAATTTTCTTTGTCAAGAGGAAAGTTTCATCTGCTCTAAATAGATATGACATTTGTTTATTTACCTCAAATAGAAATTCGTCTTCAGGAAAACCTAAACTATCTTTGATGATTTTTTTTGTACAGCTCTGTATGCTTAAAACGCCGCAATTCGATATGCGGCACTGGCAACCGACACCGGTAAAAATGTGACCCTGACGCATTGGATCCGAACACCAGTACCACAGCAGGTGAAACTGAAACTGAAGAGACCGAAGAAGTTGAAAATACTAGTGACATTACTGAGCAAACTATACGGCAAAACTTAAACAGACATTAAAAAATAATTTGACAGCAGCAAAACTCTTAGAGACGACAGACATCAACAAAAACAAGTATTGCTACTCAACAAACTATTCACCAGATAAACTCTCAAAAAGAAATCGCTTTACTTTTTCAAAGAAAGCAGCGGGAAAAGAAGTTTCCAAAATTGATGATGCTTTTGACATATTAAAAAGTGCGATATCTAAACCAGAGAATTTTGTGATAGTTGCACCGATTGCAAACAAGATTAGAAAGTATTGTAAAATGGTAAAGTGTGTTGCCCAATAGCAAATCAATAATATTTTATTCCAAGGAGATATGGGTCATTTTGATGAATATAGTAGGGCAACAGCAGCCATTCACATTCCGACTGCTTCGGTTTAAACTTCTGCTAGCATTATTTCTACAAAATACGTTCCAACTCCTTCGTCGCACAAGTTCGTTTGTAAATGAAGCAAGCTATCGAGATCCTAGTTAGGAAGGTACTATTTGGAATTGGAATATTACGTTTTTGGTTAGTTTTACCAATGTAATTATTTACTAAATATAAAAATTAAATGTTACTTTTATACCTACTTTCAAAATTAAAAATGCGAATGTTTTGTGATTAATAGATTGTTTTGAAATTTTAAATAATTATTGAAAGAATCCCATGAAGCTATAAACTTTAATGCAAAAGCTAGTTGATCTTTAGCTGGTATTGCTTTTCTTAATTTTGTGTATTTTTTCTTTCTAGGTTCTACTAAATTAAGTATTACTTCAAACTCTGATGCTGCCATTCTCGCAAAATTCTGAACATGTAGATAATCTCATCTCACCTAATATATAATTTCCGCATTTAGAATTTTCTTGCCTTCTCCTTTTTATTTTTTATTTTAAAGCTAGCATAACATCTGTCGTGTTCATTATGGCAATTTGAAAAAACGCTTTACGCACCACACAGTCGGCAATAATAGATGGCCGAACCTGGAAATAGGACGAACGTGTCGAACAAACCGAACTTTTGCTCGAGGTTTACTTATTATGCTTGTTCGTACGCGGTCTGTTCGTTCTGTCCGTTCAGACCAAAAGGCTTTAATGAGTACGCACCTTTACGGCAATGCTCGGATTTCATATAACCAATGTAGGACATCGTAAACACAACAAAAAATCAAGGAGTAACTGGCCAATCTTTATTCGGTTCTAAATTTGTCTTCATTTTCAATTTTCTTTTTTCGTCAGTTTGGTAAACTTGAACGCAACGGTCATAATATTCGCTCTTGGATATTTTATTTCTTTTACTCCATTTTCTTGCTTCTCATTTATTCCGCCTCGCCTTTCACTTCCTTTCGCTAACTCGGCAGTCTCCGATAAACTGCCATCGAGGCGTCATTTTATTAAAAAATAAAGCGCTTTCAAATTCAGCGTCTAGACTAAGCTTGGAGAAGCTTAATTATGCACAGCGTTAGGCCTACCCTTGGCGAAGACGATTTTTAATTTTAAATTAGTACGCGGTTTTGCCCGTTTTAAATAAAGAGACGGTACTAGTAAAAGCGACAGTTGTGTCTACTTATTTGGAACGAAGCTATCCGTTACCTCGATTGATCCATAAAAATTTCAACCTTCTGGGAGTAACGTAGATATTTAAAAAAAATCAAAATTATAAATTATTGGGAAAAATCACGTCCAAGTGCTCACGAAAATTTTGGACTGAAGTCTATATTAACCGATTCATCTGAAGTTTGGCACGAAGATAGAGGGTCGGGAAGATATTAAAAAAATATAGATGGATATCAATGAGGTCCCTAAGTAGATACTATAATGTCCACCCCAGCCCTAAATTTTCATTTAATATTTTCGATTTATTAATTTCATATTTATAATGTTTTTCCTCAAAAATTTCAGACTTTTAATTTTTTAAAATATTTGGGTTTCTTCAAGTAGATTGAAATTTTTATCGAAGATGGAGGTCAATGAGGTCTATCGGCAGATACCATAAAGTTCTGCCCAGGCCCTTCCGTTTAAATATAATTAATTACTTCTAATAAATTTACAGCGCCACACAAAAACCGTTCCCGGCGGCAAATGGTATAATTTGTGTGAATATCTTTGGTATCATTGGATAGAGGAAAGACCAAAGTATTTAAATTAAGAATTTCAATTTGTCAAAAGTATTATATAACGTTCAATATTGATAATTGATTTTTAAACTGTTTTTTCCATTTAAAATGAGATTTTAAGATTATTTCTCAATATTTATTGATCGAAGAAGGTTGACATTCTTCTGGAAGATGGAGGTCAATGAGGTCTTCTCGCCAATACCATAAAGTCCCATCGGGCCCGCTCCATTTAATTTTAATTAAGCATTTTTTAAAAATTTGCAGCGTCCCACAAAAACCGTTCCCGACGGCAAACGGTACAACTTGGATAAGACTTTTTGGTATTGTCAGATAGAGAAAGGAACAAAGTATATAACGTTGAAAGTTTAAAATTCTCAAAGTTATAAATAAGCGAGATATAACACTTTCAATATTAACCATCCATTTTCGGGCCGATTTTTTAGCCCACAGTGGGATTTCGTAAACAAAATCAAAACTCCCCTTGAAACCGAGGTGGTTGAACCCTAGAACCTGATGCCGGAGGATGAGAGGGATTCTGAGGGACGAAGTACGACTCAAGGGAAAGTGGCTAAACAATAACCGGAGGATTAGTTTGGCGTATGTTTAATCGAAGTCTTGACGACCCTGGGAAAAGTTAAACAACTCTGCTGAAGGAAAAGCGGGGTTTCTCGCGATCCCCTCACCCTACCTACGTCGAAGTTTCGGAAAACTTTTCTTGTAACGATTTGCTTCGGAAACATTTTTGTTTAATGAATTATTTAATTAGTAATTATAATCATTAATATATTTGATGTCTTAGACAACATCAACCAACTTCGTTTATTTAAATTTTGATTAAAAATCCATACTTTTCGGCGCTGTCGACCTATTTAATAAAATTACCGTTGACCTTGTATCTCCCCCCCATATATATATATATATATATATATATATATATATATATATATATATATATATATATATATATATATATATATATATATATATATATATATATATATATATATATATATATATATATATATATATATAAGGAATTTACGTTATTGATCCTTTGAAGCAGGTTTATGGCTTACATAGTCCATTTGTTAGTATATTGTAAAAGTTCAAAAAACAGATATATGGATCGTTTCCTATCCATAGATAAAATGGATATTATCTAATATAAAAATAATAATAAAATAAATATTATTAAAATGAATATTATCTATTATTATTTTCCAATTATAAGGATAATAGTATATTATACAACAAGTGCGGTAAACGGCGTTTGACTTAAAAAGTTTACCGAACGTGTTGCATACTATACTTTTTCTACGACAGTTAGTTTTTGGGTACATTTTCGCAAAACAACATGACATGAAAACATTCACTGACCGACGTCAGAATTGACAAACTTCAAAATTCAAGCTGTGTGAAAAGTGACTCGGATCCGTGGGAAACGAAACTAACACATTAACCACTTGATCTGAAAGCAATAATAAATAATCTTGACAAATTAAAAAATGCTGTTGTGATAAATGCTAAATCATTTCATAAAGATTTCGAAAAATTTCTGCTAAGAAATGAATTCTTGCCTCAAGCGTTTCGTCCTTTTAATTTAGGTAAGACATGGTCTTAGGTTTTTGTTTAGTTTCGGTTCAAAGTACAACTTTTTTGTCTTAAGTGCAAATCTTTGATCTTCCTTGTTTCAGAAAGATGTTATGAAAGGCAAGCTCCATATTTAACAGAAAATACAACAAAATTTATCTAATTCTTACAAAAAGAAAAAGTGTTCTAGCCGAATAACGCCAAAGCAGAGATTCTTTTAAGACATAAGAAGACTTTCTGACCCGAATCTTTGGTATTGTAACATATTTAACATAATCTTTTTTTGCTCCAGGTTTTTTGTTAATATAAATTTAAACAATAATAATTAACTGATGATTAAATTTAAATAATTAAAATAATAACATGTTTTCAATAACTTGCTAAATTCTGCATGATTCCGTGAAACTCACTGCAGACACAGTGAATACAGTGAACACAGTGAACGCAGTTGTTTTCAGTGCAGAGTTGATATGGAAACGCGACATTGCGCACACACGACTTTTTTGTGTTTTTAATGTCGTCCTAAAGTGTTTGTTTTGCTTTACATTTCGACGACATGCATCGGAATCATGCGTAGCGCATGTAGCTTGAGACAATATCGGAAAAAGTGCCTTAAGTGCAGTCAAGATGAAAGCTATGAAAATTTATGAATATTATCTCATTTGACAAGGTTCAAACTAAATTAACATCCTTAATCGAGGTAAATCAACATCCTATAATTAGTAGTTATTTTTATCTGCATGTTATGGGCATGGTCGTTTATATTACTACATTATATTAAATTGTGTAAAACGGTGTACACCGTAGAACCGGCTAAAACAAGTACGTACAAAAAATGATTTCCTTTCAAAAGGCCAAAGAAACATTTAGGTGGCGCCTTCTATACGTCAGAGTCATACCTAATTTGATTTTAGTGTACTGAATATTCTGTATAAAAATGGTTGCCAGTCGGTGGTCAAGGGGCGATCTGCGAAAACTATTGCGGTAGACGTCTAGACGAGTTGTTCGAAGAGTGACGACGACGGCCACGAGCCCCAGTTCCCCCTACCAGGCGAGCGTCGCGCATCCAAAAATGCCAAAACTACCCGGTGATTAATTACTAACCGAAAATCAATTGTTATAAATCTATAGAAAATGCGTATAATAATCGACGTCGGGACGCTATAGAGAAGCAGCAGGTTCTTGCTGCATAGGGTAGGGCGGCGCATCTCGACGCCGACGCAACAAATACGGGGGAGAACGCGACCCACAAAACCTGCGGACGAACATCATAGTGCGGCTAACCTACGTGTCGAGCGCTGCGAATCGCTGCGTCGCGACGCCAGTCTATTCTTAGATCGGGACTCGGAAATAAACAAACTGAACGCGCGAGACTAACGACCCGATTTCTATACATTCGCCGCATAGAAATTGGTACGAAATACTCCCTTCGAAAGGTGACTCCCTTAATGTGACAGTGTGTACCAGGTGTGATTTGATGGATGTACAGTGAAGTGACTGTAGAGTTACCACGTGGATCGCGACAATATCGTTTGACAATCACCGAATTGGCCAGCAGTGTTGGTTGGTACTTGTCATTATGTTGGCGACGCAGTGAAATACCGTTTCTTGCACTACTAATCAAACCATCCATAATCAATGCGTTCCTCGGAAAGTCTCACCTAGGTTAGTGTCTCCTTTTACCTGCTTTAGCAGCTTACTAGTACCTGAAGTACCTAGCATTACTGTCAGAGTCACAATGGAATATTTGCTAACCATAGTCCGCCGAAAAGACTTCGCAAATTATTACCTGATTGAATTATTTGTGCTACCACAGTTTTTTTGCCTGGACAGTACCCGTTGTCCCCTTGTGCTAGTCCCTAAGAGTGCTTAGTTCCAACATTCAACACAGGTCTTTGCCTGTACTATACTTAAGAAAAAAATCGCGCCTAGATCACTTCTGAATCCTAGCCACTTCTCTCCAAAAAAGAAGGAACCAGTTAACCCGGAAACGTGGGAAGCATCTCCCTTGGGACCTAATTTAAAAAATATATCATTATTATGCCACTTACGGAAAGAGGAAGCGTACAAACGGAAGGTTAAAATGATTTTGCCCAATTTAAATTTTAATGAGTTGCTCAAAATTTTGGAATTTAAATGTTGCATATTCGACGGCAAAAAAACATCTCGATTAAATTTAATTTGTCATTGCCGATTTGTTTAACTTGACGGTGTTTGTAGCTCAATTAGTAGCAGCGTAGTTTGTTAGCTTCCGACTTGAAATCACTTAATCGGCAGTTTTTTTTTTTGGTTATTTTTCTCCAGTTGCCAAACAAAATTTTCGGACCCCCTGGTTACCAGATTGTGATCCTGCGGTGGGTTAAGATGTCGAAGGATATAGCCTTGGAGCCAATATGATCGCGGGACATGGCAACAGCGTTTGTGTTTCTGCTGACCATCTCGCTAGCCTTAGCGGCACCCGACTGGACGGACTGCCCCAACCCCTGCCGCTGCAAGTGGAGTTCCGGGAAAAAAACGGCCTACTGCCAGAAACAAGGGCTAATCGCAGTGCCTACCAACCTCGACGAGGGCATGCAGGTCCTGGATCTCTCCGGCAACTCCCTCTCTTCGCTCCCCACTGCGGTGTTTCAGTCTGCGGGTCTAATTCATCTACAACGTATTTACCTATCCCACTCCGGTATATACGAAATCGACAAAGATGCCTTCAAGGACCTTATTATTCTGGTGGAAGTCGATTTGTCCAACAACGAAATCTCGAGTCTACATCCCCGGACGTTTTACGGCAACGAGCGGCTGCGGGTGCTCTATTTGAACGGCAACCCCTTGGGAAAGCTCGTTAGAGCTCAGTTCCCGCCGCTGCCGTACTTGAGAACTTTGGAGTTGGAAAGTTGTCGCCTGCAAGTCGTAGACCAGGACGCGTTCGTGAACGTCGTGGAGTTGGAAACGTTAAACCTGCGTTACAACCTCCTGACCAATTTATCCGAGACTTCGTTCATGAATTTCGCTCACTTGAAGACGCTTCTGCTGGAAGGTAACCCGTGGAGGTGCGACTGCGAGCTGAGAGTCTTCCGGGATTGGTTTCTGGCGAGCAAGTTGACGTCGGCGTCGCTCACTTGCGCGGAACCTGATCTACTACGCGGTCGACGGTGGAAAGACGTCAACTCCCAAGAGTTCGCTTGTGCTCCGCAAGTGTTCGCTTATCCTCAGCGAGAGGTTCAAGCGGAAGCCGGTGGTAACGTAAGTTTCGGTTGTCACGTTCTGGGGGATCCTGAACCACAAGTGTTTTGGCTCTACGAAAGCTACCCCATCAATCACACGTGGTTGATCATCGAAGCCGAAGAAGGACTGCTAGATAAGTGGTCGAACATAAGCATATACAACGTCAGCGAGATCGACGGCGGGTTGTACACGTGCGTCGCGAGGAATGTTCTCGACGTTTCGTCGGTTAATGTGACATTAGTGTTGCCGGAAGTCGTGACCGCGACCACGTTAAGCAAAACTGACTCTAAGGCGGTATGGTGGGGCGTTATGATAACGAGTGCCGTGCTAGTGCTATCGACTGTGATAACAATCACGACAGTGTGTTGCGTACGTAGGAATAACCGTGCGCGGAGGCGGAACATGCAGGAGAGCGTCAGTTTCACGGACCAAGAAAAGAAACTGCTCGACGTCAGCATAGCCACAACTACGGATAGGGGAACGGGTAGTACCGAAGCGATCGGTCCTGATTTGGAGATCGTCGAGCCACCCGTACATATCACCATAGAACGCGACCCATTGCCTATGGTCGTGTTTCCACCTCCGCCAGAGTTTTCGACCAGTGCTCTCCCTGCAGGGGCGTATGGGAATATTTTCATTTCGGTGTCGGTGAGTAGGGATCCTGGAACGGTCGATGTGTCCAGGTGTCCGGATTTGTTAGACTTGCCGCACAGGTCTAAACCGGTTTACCACGGAATGGCGACCCTTCCGAGACGTCCCTGCGCAACTCCCCACTATGACAATATGGGTCCTCGCGTGACAGCCGGTGGTAGTTCGACATTGTCATTGCCCGACGCGACCGCCGACCTTCAACCACCCCAGCAGACCCTATGCGTTCCTCTCACTCCCGAGTTTGTCTCTCTCTAACCTCCTCGCGGTTAATCTTCAATTAGTGCCTTTGCTCACATCAATATTTCGATTGTGTTTTAAAAGTATGCCCGGTGTATTCATTTCGTTTTGGATATACGTTTTGCGTGACTCCTCGTGATGTTTCGGTGTTTTTCGATTCCAAATCAGACGTACTTTTAACCAGTTAAATATGTATAGCGTAATGTATTTAATTCGTCTCTAAAATAACTCAGTGTCAACCTACCAAAAACCCATTGGACGAGAGTAAGACTTTTAAAACTTTTGTTCGTTTTTTAAATTTTAATGTACATTGTTAAATCTGTTAGGCAAATAAATTAACATTTGTAACAAAACAGGTGTTTGCATTGTCATCGGCGACATCGACGACTTACATGCATGCGTTCGGAATTTGTTGCAGAAAAAAATGTTAAAGATACAGATAAAATATATTTTTGATTAATTTTCAATACCTAATTGTTTGGTTAGAAGTTTCACTTGACCTACAGACGACATTTTTGTAATAACAAAAAAAAACTCCCGCTTCACTTATAATTATCGCTGAATGAAATTATCAACTTGGGCGAATTTCAAAACAACCCATCGCATTTCCAAGGTGAAGGCTTCGTGGGATAGAATGTCTGATTGACACGTGAGGGTGGCTTTCGGACTATTAAGCGTTATCCGTAGTTTCGAAAATAAAGGGGTTCATCGATGTGGGTCGCGGCAAAAGTAACGCAAAAACAGCCCGAAACCTTTGAATATCTTGTAGCCTTTACTGCTAGATTTTCTCCAACGTACCTTCGTATTTATTGAGAGGTGCAGTGCACCGATAACCGCAGCGAATTCTGAAGTGTACGCAGCTATCCGGCTTCAGGGTATTAGTTTCCTTTAATGAGACTTAACGACTTGGAGAGTCTTAGTTGCATTAATCGATATAACTTTTGTACTGGTAAAGATGAACTTATGAATGAAAATGAACAAAACTATGCTAACAATTAACGACGTTGTTGTGTATGATATTTTCATTTAATTAAATCTATATCAAAATCTAAATCGCTTGCACTCTTGCATTTTCAACTAGCAACTTCCTGGGTAATTAGTTCGTCAGAATAAAAATGATTTGGCACATTTAGCTCTTTCCAGCTTTAATGAACCTAAGGAAGATTATATCTAAGATTACAGCGTCTAGTGAAAATATATAGTTGATCGTTGATATGATCTATTGTGATTAAACTAACTCGTTAATTGTAAGTTGATTTAGAAACTGGAACGGAAAAAATATTATTAATTTAGCAATCTGGGTTTGCTATGCTGTACCAAATGTACGTTTAATATAATCCATTTCTTGTGAGCACTTTGCTAAGCAGAGTGCCCCGGGGGTTCTCAGAACATATATTATCTGTAATTTTAGGTCCATCAATAATGAAAAAATCTTGAGAAACTTACTTAGTGAAAAACTCACATTACATTCCAGTTCAAATACGTCATTCTGTAAAGGCCAAGTCCTTGAGTATGGCTTATCCATATAGCTACTAGATATACAGAGGTATTGTCTATGCTAATCCAATATGGGCATGCTCGGGCCATTTCATAACTTGCTTTAAAACAGATTGAAAATACGTTTTTTTTATTTTTGCGACGTTTCTTCTTTTTCCTTTTTTTTTCAAATTGGTGGAAACCTTAACTGTTATAACCGGGTGGCTTTCAAAAATACTTTTGTCCGGAATTGGTTATATCCGTATTAGTCATCTGAGGAAACTTCTGAACCCCGCATGTCGGATCCAATTTTGGAGTTATCGATTGTTTACCGGACCCTTTATCTTGTTTAGGGAACTGTTTTATTACGGTAGTCGGGCCTTAACGAGATGAAGAAGACGCCTGAACGTAAAAGAACCCTATCGATTTGGGGCCCGAGACCCTTAGAAGTATTTGTTTACGTTTTACCAAATTACGTGCTTTCGCTGTCGATTACGGCAGTTAAGATATTACGCTAATGTGCCCCATTTGAAACGAAATTGGTTCAATAATGATTCGCGCCTAAAACGACTAAATCATCCTGGCGACGATAACGACAACGTCGTGACTACGCAGTGGTAAAATGACGGAGACAAATAGCGATGTTGCCTGCTTCGTAATTGTGCTTTTTTAAATTATCGCCAAGGGGTCGTGTTCAAAGCGGTTTCTTATGAGTTTCTTAAACAAAAATAATTGAAAAAATCGTTATAAGTAAATGCACTGTTAAATCATTGATAGCGGGGGTTCTGAAATCAGTTCTGAGCATGCGCAGTAAATAAACGTACAGATTCGAAATAAAAATTAGCAGTGCGAGTTTTTATGTAATATTTAAGATTATTAAGAGGGGCCGATGGTGGCGCGATAGGTAAGGCGTTAGAACTGATATTAAAAATTAAATGGCCTATTAAAGAACTGAGAGAGATATTGTTATCAAATTTTGGTTGCGGTGTAAGAGTTCGGGTTCTACATTTTAAAAATATACTTGCTGCCACACCACACACACACTTTAAAACAAATTTTAAATGCAGATTATCTTGTTTTTCTCTTTCGCAGAAAATTACTAAAAAAATTGTCGATAAAACATGCGTTACAAATAAATATATCCTATTTTAATAAAATAACCTATTTAACATAAATTAAATAAAAAATAGAATATATTATTAGTTCAATGCGACAATTTGTCAATTTTTCATTATAATCCAAATATTTTTCATTGGAACTCACCAATGACATTGTAAAAAAAAAAGCTGCCGTCAAAATGGCATAAAAAAATACATTGAGTCTTTTTACAATGACTAAAATAATGCAACTGAAAAGTGGTATGCCTTAGTGAATATAATAAACTGATATAATACGTCATTCCTTAGGGTTGACAGCACTAGATACCATGCTGTAGAATCTAAAAAAAAAACCGCTAATAACAAAACATTTTGTATGTTGCATGTGCATTACAATTTATTGTAGAATACATCATAGGTATTTTACCATTCGGTGATCCAGAGAGATTTTGACTTTCACTACCCCAAAGAGTGCAAATACTCAACAAACTTTCTAATAATAATAACTAAGCATTTGCTAATTGTATTTATAAACTTGAAGACTCTTTTGAGAGCTTATATTATTTGAGAAATACTTCGTCCGCTATAAAACAGACGTCCCATCTTTTACTATGAGCATAATGGTAGTTATAAAATACCATTCTTTGAAATTAAATAACAGTACTGTTAATTTCCACGTAAGCAGGTAAATGACAACTCACTGTTCTGGGAAATATCGTCTATGGAATGTTCAAGATGTGTCGTCCAGTCTAAGCGCATCGTAAATTTAACGCATCCATCATGATCATCGGCTATTTCGAGCATTGCTTTGAAGTATCCGGTTGCAAAGTGGAAAGTGGTCAAATTCGAGGCTTAGTTTGGGGACACTATCGGCGAGTGGTATCGACCCTTTGCGGTTTGACGCGATTGTTAGGCGCTGGGGTTGCGGATTTTGAAGCGTTTTGTACGTCCGTAGGTAGCAAAACGCAACGTCACAAATGAATCGATTTTGCAGGAAATGAGTTTAGACACAGTATAGAGAGTGGATCACTTTGAGATCTGGAGATATTAAATGAAGGTAATTTTTATAATTTGGGAATGATACAAAAGGAAATCTGTCAAATTGACGAACTATCAGCAGTCATATTGATTGTTGAACTCGGCGAGGTCTCTCCGGAAAAACCGTTTGGAAATAGTTGGAATTGTTATCCCCGGGTAGTTAACTGGCTTGTGATATGCTAAATCGGCTTCCAGAGGGCTCCTATAGCTTGTTGGCGGAGGCTGAAATCGTTGAAGCCTCGATTCGGCCTCATCAATTTCCCTGCCGTACCCGACAAGTTCGCCAAGCGATGAGGTCTTCAAAGTACTACTCTGGATGATCGGTAGTAGATTTCTGCGAATTAATTGGAGCCCCGTTTCTTCGGAGGGCTAATCACTGAATTTTCGAAAAAGATTTAGTATAGCCCCAAGATTTCTAAGTACGCCTTGTGTTCTACGTATAATCTCGCCCCATAGGCTGTGTTCTTAATCATGTGATTGGAAATCTCTCTTAAGTTGTGAGGTCAGATCACCCCAGCTGATGAAATGCTTAGCCCGGTACCAGAGTAAGGCTTCCTTTGTAAAAAATTCATCTGCTGAATATAAGAATCTCTTTTTGTATACGCCTCTTGATAAACGTGTGGTTCTTCTACTGTCTCTAAAAATCCATTTAGACGGCCGCCACCGGCCTACTCCATGAGGGGGTAGCTTCAAAGTGTCTCTGGGTATTGGAAACGTGACCTCGCAGCGGTGACAACTGAAGATTGGCTAGGTTCCTAGCAAAGTCTACACCGAAATCAAAGTTTTGAAGATATTCCTCTCTTACAGTTGAATTCGCCTTGGCAATTGGAAGACAATCTGGATTAAATAGTACCTGAGTTTGTTGTCTCACAGGTATTGATAGGTAGGTATTACCTATTGAATTGAAATTGGTAATACCAATATTGTTACCTATACTGTTTGAAAATTGGAATAGTATATTACGCAACAAGGGCGGTAAACATTTACTAAACACTCGCTCCGCTCGTGTAAAATAAACTCGTGAGTTAAAAAATTTACCGAGCGTGTTGCATACTATACTTTTTCTGGGTACATTTTCGCAAAACAAGAATATATTCACTGACATGACCGTCAGAATTGACAGACGTCAAAATTCAAAGCGTGGAATATATCTCCGAAAAATCCGACGTGGAAAAGTGACGCTTCCAGCACTCTAGATCGGTGTGTATTGATGTATTTTACAGACGGGAATAGATTAATTTTTTTTTAAATCCATCTTATCTCAATTTTGGTTATTTATTTTCGGCAATTAATTTGCGCGAAATGTACAGGCCACCGTCTGTCGTCCATGCAGCCTTCTCGTGTTCCATGACATAACAGACGGGTGAAAGAGACGCGAATCGGAGATATTTTACTTCGTCGGGGCGGCGGCGGCGGCGGTGTGAGAAATATTTTGAAAAGCGAATGAGAACATTAATCATTATTTATGATGCCGAGCGTTTTTCCCCCGAGAAGGGGATTTACCAAAGGGCGACGAGGGCGGTTGTGGGGGCGGTTTAAGTATTCCTAGTTTCAGGTATATATGCGAGGATTACCCGCGCTTAATTATTTGAAATACAGCCGCCGCGAACCCGAGAGAGTAATTTTTCAGGATAATTATCGTATAACGCCCGACGGTAACTAACCGTCACATTTTCCGTACTCCCGAAGTATGATAAACAAAGATAAGGTTTCTTGCCATGATTAAGCGTGATTTTGAAATATGAAGTGGTGAATAAAATATTGTTTCCTCGCAAATAAAAAAAATATCTTCCTGCATTTCGTTTATTTTAGTTTTCGGAATATGCCGTGTCAAAAATTCAAACTCGACAGGTTTTTTTTTGAATTTTTTTAGAATGAAAAACAAACTCTTATGTTAATTCTACTCGGTGACTAAAATATATAGAAAAAGGAGCGTAAGAAAATCGCCATCTGACAGATTAAAAAAAAGTTTTTCAAGTTCACAGCAGTGATATGGCATTTTAATTTTTAAAAGAATTTAGTGATCAACGGGTGATCCTTTATAAATAAATACTCTCTCTAAAATTTTTAGTTAACATTTTAGAAAAAAAGTTGTGCTGTTTAATCTGTAGATTTAATATTACATATTTACATGCAAAGTGTACCAGAAAAAGCACAGCAATTTATATTTTTTAAATTGGAAGCCCTGTAGATTATTTCATGAAAGGAAAAGGTTCTTTTTCACTTCTAATAGTATATTTTGCAACAAATTTGGTCACTAAAAGGTGTTTAATAGTATAGTTTTTCAACGAGTATTAGTTTTGTCATACATTATTGCAAAACAACACGAATACATTCACTGAGTGAAAATTGACAAACGTTAAAATTCAAAGCGCGGGAAATATTTCCGAAAACATCCGATTGCTCCCAAATCCATGGGTGATATCCCAGAAATGTGAGAAAAATTCGCTCGCAGCCGTTTGTATCATTGAGTATTTTAGAGTAGTGGAGTATATTAAAGCCAGAATTAGCCAAAAATAAAATAGTTACTTAGTTGGCCATGCATCATCATGCCGTCACTACAACAGTTGACAGTTGTGTTTTTTTTTTTCGAATATTCTTTATACATTTGTTAATATCGAGTAGAGACTAGAGAAAAACTAGGCATTGCTTTTTAAATCCCCACGAAGAATTAAATATCTTTTTATATTACTTAGGTAGGAAACAACTTGCTTAGCCATATAGTTTATAATTAAAGCTAAGATAATATTTTGATTTTTTTATCATTTGGAAACATTATTCTTTGCATTGTATTCTATTAGCTTTGTAGCTTTTGTGTGGGATATAAAATTATTTGTCACCCCTATGGTTGTTACCATCAAATTAAGTAAGCCCCCGAGGCAAAAAACTAATAAAAATTTTTAATGAAATGAAATATGTTTTATTTCCTTTTTGAAAAATCACTTCAAGAGAACAATTATTGCGATTTAGTAATAATGAAGTGTCCAAATTGCTATGTTTTGTTTAGTTGGTATGTAGTGGTAAGTAGAAGAACAATAAATGACAATTAATAGGAGAAATAGTTAGAATCAGGGGAATTTACAGTGAGATTAGAGGGATTTCTACTGAGATTCGCGGCTGAAGGCTTTAAAATTCTCGAAGCCGGGAGCGTTATCGGTCAGACCGCGTCTCTCGTTTGGGAGTTTTTTAAGTAAACTCCGACAATAATAGAAAATCCGTTTTAACTATAACAACGTAACGTAAGAGTTGGGCTTAATATTTCTCTAAGACAAAAACCCGCTGGGGCAGCTCGCGATGCATTTGTTGCCCGGGAAAACTTTTGTTAAAATCGAAATTTTCTTGCTTTAAAATTAATGAAAATCTGGAGAGAAGGAGAATTGCCATTGTTCATGGTGAACTTTAAATGCTTTTAAAAGCTTATACAGACGCCGTCCAAACTTGACCATTAATAATTTTAACTGCATTAAAATTTGATCGATAACGGGCAAATTACAATTAAAATGAAAGTTCGCATTTTTTACCAGAACCGACCAAAATAATAATAATAATAATAATAATAATAATAATAATAGTAATAATAATAATAATAATAATACTAATAATACTAATACTAATACTAATAATAATAATAATAATAATAATAATAATATGTCTTTATTCATGTTGACAGAATATTTACAAAAACTTATAAAGTAGGTGGCGGTATTCAACAGAGTTACTCATACAACCACCAGATTAACCAAATAACATATAAAATATCCAAAACACAGACTAAGAGAATAACAAGATAACCAAAGTATATCATTATAACGAGAGTAATGTACGATTGTCACAGATTACTGTAGTATAAGATTACTCATGTTTAATAGAACGGTAGAAAGTAAATAACCTTTCATTGAAAATTGAGATCGGGGGGTACATCTGACACTGGAAGGTAATTTATTAAAACATTTTGAGGCCTGGTACGTGAAAGAACATTGAAATAAGGTTGTACGATGCTTAGGTACCCTAAGGAGTTCACGACTACGAGTTAGCCTGTTATGGGTATGGACACCTCTAACCAACTTATCATATGAATAGATAGGTTCACGATGGAGTAGAATTTTATATAAAAAACGGCAAAAGTTAATTTCAAACCTTTCTTGCATAGTAAACCATCCCGAGTTAATGAAACTTTGAGTGATATGATCGAATTTCCGCAAACCATTTGCAAACCTCAGACAGGCTGTGACGGTTTCATATTTCAATGGTAAAATTTAGCATTTTTAAAGTACCAGTGCTGGCACATTTGCTAAGTAACAGGTTTATTTTATTAGTACCTTGTAGAATTAATTGTACTGTCCATTTCCTTCACCTTTTGCTGTTTGGCGAGTGCTTCTTAACCATTAAAATTCTTGTTTATTAGGTTTGAACACATGTTCTTTTGTAGACTCGGTTCCTTTAGTTTCGGACTTGTACTCCCCGGCCGATTGTGTTGCCGAACCATAAAAATTTTATGCTGCAACGGCTGTGTGCGTGGCCCCTTGTTCGCTTGGTTTTCTCTTAAGTGACACCGGTTTACTGAGAGATACTAATGCAAAAAAACAGAGTATTAGTTGCGCATTAGAAGGAGTCATAACCATTACCATCTGTCACTCTATGAGACTAGGGACCGCATTTGCTTTTCATTGCTTCGGTATTCCTTGGCGAGCCTAGTAAACATTGTTTTATTTCTTAACCTATTCTTCCTCGATTTTCTGTGACTGGCCGTCCGGTCGCCACCATAGATAGCGTTCGGGTAATTCGATCTCGTTGACGCAACCTCGATTCTTTGGCACGGGCCATACGGCCATCACCACAGATATAGTTCGGTTGTTCTTTCTACTGGCGGCGTACCGTCGACTAGGTTGGCAAGAGTGGCGTTTTCCCTCTAATTTTTTGTGCCCGTTTAGCCTTTTAATAAAACTGGTTGTCTGAATCGTCCGGCATTTTGTACGCTAGCTTTTGAAGCTTGGGGTTGTGGCAGGTTTTCTTTTGTGTGACCGATTTCTTTTTGAGCCGGTAGTGCTACCCCAATAAGAGGGGGATATGTGAATTGGTCACTAATTTATGATTTCCCATACTTTTGGATCTATTTGGAGTTTGGAATGGGAATCTTCCTCAACGAGGGATTTTGAAAAGAATTGTCATTGCCCCATATTTCCAGAAAACCCTCGAATCGAGGTAAGTTACCTTTTGGAACCATTTCGCCACCTAATCAGTGTTCCTCAATTTATGCCGATTTTATTTTAGGGTTTTTTTTTTTTTTTTAATTAGTATTGTACGTATTGTTGCTCCGTTTCCCGCAAACCTTCCACGTGGTTTCTTCTTTCACCGGAATACCAGACCAGACTTGGTGTCTTGCAGTGTATGCTGTCTCTTGGGTACATGTTTAGTTGTGGAGTTTCCCCTATCGAGCAGCCGGCTTTCCGGACGGACTTTGCTGGGTTAACTGAGACTGCCCACCTGCGGCTGTCTCATTGAGCCACCATTCCATCTTGGCTTGGTTCCCGGGATAGTGACAGACAGCTGTGTAACGTTCGGGACATCTTGAGGTTTGGGTAGCTTAAGTGGCCTGTTCTCTTCAAGAACGGTTTGCGGAACTTATAGCCTTAAATTATAGTGTCTTACATTCTTTTGCACCGCCAAAACTTGAAGGTGAGATTTGACACTCACACCTACCACCAGGTTGAAGGAAATAAATTATTGTTCGTGATTCACTTGTTTATTTCCTTTACGGGTTGGAACCTCGGGTTGATAAGTCTACCTTTTTCGAATCACGTGGCGCCTACCTACCACCTTCCGGGACTGACCGAGGTGCCCTTCGCCGCCTTCCAACCTGGCTTTGGTTTAGTATATATATTTTTTTTCTTTTCTACTTTATTAATTTTTCTCGGTTGTTAATGAGCTAGCCTAGGCATTGTCTTACCTCACTATTAAATTACGAATTTAATTAATTAATGCGTTTCTTTTTCACGACCCTGAGATGGAGAGGTAAGAAGGCATAGACATGATCCAGAAAGCGCAAATCACAATGAATCGTTAAACCTAGATTTTTGCACTTATTAACCGGACTAATAATAGTTCCGTTTAGGTTTACTATAAAATCATTATTACTAACAATCTCCTCTCGACGCCGTCCAAATACCATCAGTTGTGTTTTTGATTCGTTAAGTTTCAATCCATGGGCGACTCGACTGACGATTTCAAGATCTTCATTGGAAAGAATGATAAAGCTGAGTATCGTCCGCATATGGATGTGTCTTGCAGTGTTTGAGAAAACTAGGAAAGTCGGACGTGTATAAAGAAAAGAGTATTGGTCCCAGGATACTCCGTTGGGCTACGCCCTCTGATACAACACAAAACTTGCAGGCTTCGCCAGCCAATACGACACTATGAACGCGATTTGCAAAGTAGTTTTTAAAAAAATTTAAATTTATATATCCCAGACTAAAATGTTTAAGCTTAGCAATTAAAATTTTTAAGAACAACGGTGTCGAAAGCCTTGCTATAGTCCAGTAGAATTAAACAAGTGTTTTCGAAGTTGACGTGAGCTCTAAACAAATCATCCACAATTGTCAGCAGAGCGGAGGCAGTACTGTGGTTAATACGAAAGCCTGACTGAGTGCAGGGTAGAAGCCCTCTGTTCCTCGAAAAGGACGCCAACTGCCTACAGACTATAGACTCCAATACTTTCGACATTGTAGGCAGTACAGTAATAGGACGAAAGTGTGATAAGTGCTTTTGGGAACGGGCACCCTACGCCCTATTTTCCAGGCTGTCGGAAAGTTACCGGTAAAGATACATTTGTTCATAATATATGTAATGTGAGGGCTCAAATATGGAATTAGATAGAGAAACATTTTCAAATTCACACCATCAGCGCCAACAGCATTGCTCCTAAAGCCCAAGATTATTTTCTCGACTTCCTCTGAGGTAACCGGTTCAAAATCTAAACGCACACCATGATCTCCCAAAAATTTATTAGCATAAGTGTGTTCAATAAGCGAATCATAGCCATTACTATTAGGTTGGGAAGCATTGAAAAAGAGACTACAAAAATCTTGAGCGTTTCCAAAGTCACCAGCCCCCGATTGGGAATTTTTCGCAGTGCTAACATTAAGATATTTTAGAGTTTTCCAAAAATTCTTTTGATCATGCTGAAAAGAATATTTCAAGTAGGTTTTCCTTTCATTTTTAACTGCCATATTTACCCAGTTTCTTAACGTTTTGCACTCATTTCTTGCGATTTCGGAGTTGCTCGTTTTATACCTTGACAGGGCCTTGTTTCTCGGTCTCATCATCATCTTTAAATTGTCCGTGAGCCATGAAGCCGGAGCCTTAGTAATTTTGGGAGTTTTTAAAGGAGCGTGTTTTTCGAACAACTTGAGAACTTTATCATCAAAGAAATCAACCATAAGATCGGTATCATCAAACAAATAAATACAGTCCCAATTAATAAGATGCAAGTCAGTTAAAAAGGTGTTATAATCGAAATGAGATAAATCCCTATAAGTTTTGAAAAACGGAGCTTGTTTAAATTTAGTAATTTTGATAGTACAAAAAACTAAATCATGATCAGACACCGGAGTCATATCCAAAACTCCTGGATTACAGACCACGTCAGGTGAGGAGGATATAATTAAGTCAACCGAGGTGCGATTGGTCTGTGTCACTCTGGTAGCCAGGTTAATACGCTGTGAGAGATTGTATTTGCCTAACAATGCTTTAAATAAATTAAAATCGCCAGACGAAACTTTGAGTGCTCTCACTTCTTTTTCCAGAACTATCCCGTGGTATACAGTAAACTTTATTTGACGTCCGTAAGGGCGTTTTATATTCTCCATTATTTTCGATAGTAAAACTCGAGGTTTATTTCAGAAATGATATTGCGGGTTATCCAGAGCGCTTGTTATTTTATTTACAATTTGCGATGCGCTTGCAGCCAACAGCAGGTCTATTCCAGGATGTTTCACGGGATTCTTCTGGTTTTCAGTCGCCGTGGCGCATTCGCTATGTTGCCGAATATTTCTAAATTTGGTTTTGTCGAAAAAATAAAACGAAAATATATAAATTTTTTATAAAACTTTTGCGTCGGTTTTTGTTGAGTCGAACTAGCTAACGTTTCGCCAATCATCCTGTTCGCTTCTTCAGAGCTTAAGCAGACTTGAAACTGTTTCAGTCAAGTTCTGAAGAAGCCAACAGGATGATTGGCGAAACGTTAGCTGGTTCGACTCAACAAAAACTGACGCAGGAGGAACCCAGAAGTTTTATAAAAAGTATTAAAGTAAGCTGCGAAAGTTTCTTTAGTAAGTTTCCTAGTAAGAAACAGTTGACATGTTGGACGAAAGTGTGTTACAGTCCGATAATTTAGATGTAGCTGCTGTTAGAATTTCTTATTCATTTAAACCAAAACAGCATCACAATTTTGGTAGTTTTTTAAATGGGAGTGAGTAATAAAATGTAAATTTGCTATGACAGGGATCATTAAATAGCGCGGACAATATAAAGGTCCTATAATCAAGTAAATAAAAACTTATATAGAAGTAAGAACTGATACTAGCCACCCTCAAGAATTAACTTTACCAACAACAGCCGGAAGGTAACTCTAATTCACTAAGGCACAGCTACATCAATTAATTGTCCATCTACCTGCCACTCTTAGGGCAAATCATCATATGTATAATACATTACAATAATGCAATACTACGCCGATGGAATACGGCATTCAGAAACAGAACGTAACTTCAAATCGATACTATGTATTATTTTCCATTAAAACTGCAAGTCCATCAGGTCTAAAATATTGTATTTTGTATTTATTTATACGGCTGGTAGCTTTTACGTACATTTTTTCAAAACAACACGATTACATCCACTGACATGTCATGACAGAATTAACTAAGGTCAAAATTCAAGACGTGGGAAATATCTCGGAAATGTTCGAAATGACGCTTTTCGCACGCTAGATCGGTGTATAATTAGGAATTTTACCGGCTGAAGTAGAAAAAATCAATTAACTGAACAACTGATAACTAAGAGAAGCTCTAATTTAACTTTAATCTTAGGTTCATGTGTGACCACAATTAGCTATATTTTTCCTACAAAAATATAATCAAATTCATCAGTTTTTGGGGTTCGTTCCAGCTACCGATTTTTAATTATTCAACACCAGCGGGGCGGGCCTCCAAAGTTATTCAATTAAATTTTTAATTCAGACTATTTTACGACTGTTTCAAAGCCACACATGGACATAAAAATGCAAATGCGCCGTATCACGGGAATTAACAATGTCTATAAATCGTAGTGGGCTATCTCTTTTTCCGGGGTGTTTATTTGCCAAACTTTTTGGCGCCTGCATTTTATTTTCGTTAGGTAGGGACGCGGCGGACATTTGACCCGCCCGTCGCATCTATCATTCCCGTAATAACGATATTACGTGGGGTAAATCGCCACCCAAAATTGGGTATAGGGCCCCTGATATACAAGGGACCAATAAGATCTTAACACTTAACAAATCACTTTTTGCCCTCGTGGCGCAATTTTCCGGGATATTTTATAAATTTTATATTTTTTATTTATTTTTCATTTTGTCATGACACAGACGAAAAATACCAATCATTTTATGAAGATTAATGCAGTTTTATCAGAAATATAGTTCTTAATGCTCTATTACAATTCTGAGTTTTTGGAGGCGTCAGTATTGCCCTAGTACGATTGGCTTGAAACTCAATTATTCCGGACACTGGACGTGCACTCATAACTTTGCTTGTCAGACTATTTGGGTCAGTATGTGATTGTTCGCAGTAAGGCTGTTCGAACTTCCCCCGTGTGGATACGACCGGTGACTAGTGTTGGGTTAGAAAGGGGTTGGAGAGGATTGGGATATATTTAATGACGGTAGTAGGGATATTGTATATCTAGCCTCTCTTTTGATTGATAGATATTCATGACATGTTGTGGTGTAGTTCCCACTTGGGAAATCATTTCCTAATAGACAGAAACCTATAGTAAAAGAGATTCCATCTGTGATGAAGATAATATGTAATACAAAAAGTCTACTGCAAAAAGGAGTGATTACGTTCTAAGAAACCAAAAAAATAAATCCAAAGATTGCTGGAAATTCAGTTCCTTTTTATCTCGAGTTACAGTTTACGAAGTTTTAACAGAAGCAGTATTATGCTGATGAAAACTGTCAATATATTGGCAGCTCCTTTCACTGAACTTATAAACTGCTGCTTCACAGATGGTATGTACACCGACTGTTTTAAATTCGCCCCTCTTAAAGAACTAGCTATAGGACTATAGACCTATATCCATTACGGTGACCTCCTCTTAATGGAGTGCATGCTAAAGGAGAGATTGGTTGGACATCTCGACTCCAACTCGCTTCTCAGTTTGGCTTCAGGTCCGGTGGGTCCACTACTGGGGCAGTTTTAAAGATTGTGGAGAGCATAGTGGGGGGCTTGGAAGGTGGGTCGTACGCTATTCTTACGGTGTGTCCAGGACCTTCGATTGTGTTTCCCATGATTTGCTCCTCGAGAGACTTTCGATATATGCTATTAGAGGAACTCCCATGAAGCTCTTTGAATCATATCACTCCAATAGATATCAATGCGTGCTATATAATAACTCTGTTTGTCAACGTACCCCTATCAAATATGGTGTTACCGACTATCGCTGAGAATATTTTGGACATTTGCTTTACTGCTAATAA